CTCTGATACCATAAAGAATGGTATTCTCGATTGATTCTTCTCATTATACAAAATCGGTTATAAATACAAAACCATTCCTGTAAATAAGGAAAGGATATACATTGTAAAGGGTAAAATCAAATACAAAAATATAGAATGTATATATCGTCTATGAACTTTGATCGTTGACTTTTTGACCCTGTTGACTTTTGGTCAAATTGCTAGTTCTAAAGTGTAGACTAAGGTGTGACCTTGTGTGATTCGATAGGTGGGTTGTAACACCTATTTCATGACATTGAGCTGGGATTTGTATAACCTTGTGAGAAAGGTGAGTCTTCTCACTATACCGTGTAGGATGCTAGCTGTCTTTGTGACTCTTGCATATATGTTGGGCAGGCCCGTTTGAATGTTGGGTAGGACCCGTTTGTATGCTATGTAGGGCCTGTTATGATGGGCAGGGCCAAATATGTGGACGGGCCCTAATGTTACATATGATAAGTGTTATTTTGATGAACTCACTAAACTTTGTGCTTACGGTTTTGTGGTTTAAACATTTTAGGTACTTCTGGTTCCAAAGGGAAGGTCCCGACGTGATCGCATAACATCCCCTTGATTTTTATTCGGATTTACTCTGATGTTGAGAATATTTATGTTGTGGTTGGTTTGGAACATTTGGTTGTATCTTTTTGGGTGTTTTGAAAATGAAAATTTAACGGTATTTTTGGCTCGTTAGAACCAAAATGCAAATGAAATGAAAGTATGTTAGTATTTATTTGACTTTGTCCTTTCTTGCAGTGGAATTTACTTGCAGATGCTTAGGAGAGAAGTTTATGATTATGATATGTTATGAACTAGTTGTGAGACTCATGTATTACATGAGTTAATTTAAGGGTAAATAGCATAAAAAACACTCCGTTGACACCAAAATTCTAATTTGACACCATGTTTTTTTTTTGTCTCAAATTTGACACTTTGTTTTCCAATTTGTTACAATTCTGACCACTTGACCGGTTAACCAGGTTACATGCTGATGTGGCATGCTGACATGATATGTTGACGTGTCAAAATTGAATTTTTTTTCCACAAAAAACACTAAGTTTTCACTTTTTTTTCGATTTTGACACTAAGGTGTTGTTTGTTTTGGAAGTGGTTAAATGTCTTTTGTCTTTTTCCATGTTTGCGGAAAAAGACGTGCACTTGCGAAACGTCTACCCACCAGAAGGGAAAAGTGCTCAAAAAGTACTTTTGTAGAAAAACAAACGAGGCCTAAGTTTAATTTTTTCTTTCAATTTTGACACTATGTTTTTTTTGTTCCAAATCGAACATCATTTTTTCCAATTTTGTTCAATTTTGACCATTTTCCATTTGAAACCGTATAAATATATTTTTTTATTACATTTTAAACCGTATAAATATATTTTTATTTGTTTAAAAACCACATTTTTATTTAAATACAAGATTTTTTTTTTTTTTTTTTTTTTTTACATTCAA